GTGGCTCTTGTGAAATTACGTTTCCCCTTGAAAATTAACGAGTGCCGTGGTTATGCACTCTCTGCTCTCTCACATTCAGGCAATGTCTCAGACCCTCCTCCTGTCTCATTAGAGACTTGTTAGACATATTTCACCAAAATAAAAAAAGAAACCTGCCCACATCCAGGAAAAATAAGCATACCAAAACAGTGGGTGTGTCTAGAAACTCTGGAGAAAAAGATAAACATTCAGAAAGGGCAGATAACATTTACAGTTAATTCTCAAGCCTGAGAAGAAAGACAGAAAAAACTACTTTATCTGGATCTTCAGTGAGGAGCAGAGGCCACACGTTAAGTGTTTAGAAAAAAATGTCTAATAATGAAAAATAAATTTATTTTGTAGCAACTAGTTTTGTTAAAAATCAGAGTACAAAAATTTTTGAGAAAATGCAAATGTCATCTTTTAAAGCTTATAATTTCACCTTGTGACCATGAATGAAACAGTTCACCCTAAACCACATTTATAAATGCCATTCTGATTTCATACTGCAGTGTCAACAACACAACATTAAAGATGTATTGCTGAGGAGTTTTAAATCAGAGTAACACTAAAGTATTTATAGATGATTGTAAATTCAGTCCTACTTTTATATCATCTTCAAAAATCACTGAATAAATGCACCACAGCATGTTCTGGTTCTACACAACCTTATTAAACTGATTTCTTGTTTTCTTTATAAGATCAATAATCCAGACTTTTCCCTGGTTTTAGGATTTCTAAGTAGGAAAAACCACATACAGCAGCAAGGGGATGCTCTAAGGACTCGAAAAACATAGAACTATCAAAAAACAGATAATTGTTTTTTCCTCATGCGTCATGAAATGTAGCTTTTTTGCATGATCTCCAAATGTAATAAGACCATTAAGCTATCTGATTTGTTTATCTAACAGGCACAAGACATTCTCTATCCCACATACATGTCTGGTAGAGAACTAATAACCATTGTATGGAAGGAAAAATCTAGAGATTCAGGCTGGAAAAAAGTAAAGCGGAGGTAACAATCCGTGCAGCAGTTTGAGGTGGAAGTCATTAGCCGTGTAGATCTATAGTCCTCTGCTGTGTCAGAGACATGTCAGCAAACAACAGGGAGTACATGATCCTCCTGTATATACAATACATGATGATGTACACACACACACACACACACACACACACACACACACACACACACGCACGCACGCACGCACGCACGCACGCACGCACACACACACACACACACACACACACACAATAAAAACTCTCTGATGTGATACTCACCACCACGTCTGCACTGCTGCTGTTACCTTTCCCATAGTTGTCCGTGGCAATAACTTGGAACTTGAAATAGGACCGGCGCATGTTCCGAAACATGATGGCCGACTTGATGACTCCAGTGTAGGTCTCAATGACAAAACTGTCCTGTCCATCAGTTGTGGGTGGGATAATCAGCCGGTAAGCCATGGCGCTAAAGTTCCCGGTGTCCCGATCGGTGGCCTGTGATACACAGCATGGAATTACAAGTTAGACAAAAAAAATAAATTCAGACACGTGCTGGTTAGTCTTGTTGGCTGAAAGCAGTTTGTGTGTGTGTGTGTGTGTGTGTGTGTGTGTGTGTGTGTGTGTATGAATTTAGTTTGACCATTCTGACATAAATTGCAAAGGCAGTCCTAATAATCACCCTTTTTACCCCAACTTGACTAGATTCCTCTGAGAAAAATATCAAACTCTTTAGACTGAAAGAGCTACACTTCGTCTGTCTGCCTGCCACTTGATCAGGTGTTGATCAAGTGCCGTAAAGTGAGGGTTTTCCTCGAAAATAACTGCCAGTTGGACTTAATAACGACCCCACGAGACGAGAGTGAATGAACCAAAGCATAACAGTTGTAATCAACAGCAAAAAATAATTACCGGTAGCTAGGGTTGTCATGGTAACCGGTGTAGCGGTAAACCCCGGTAAAAAGGTTGACAATAATAATAACCGTCTTGTTTCTAAAAAAACTATATTATCTCAGTGGATTACCGTGGCTGCGGTGTAGGCGCGGTGACCCTTACCAGCCACCGTATCATCTGCTGAAGTTGCCGGCGGCACATGCGCACTTTGTTGTTTACAACCAAAACTTTCTTGAAGCTAAAGGTGAAATAATGGCCAAAGGAGGAGACGGCAGCACTCAGGACATTTATTATCCCTCAAAGAAGACAAAGTCGGAAATACGGGCATCTTTTGGATATTTGAAGAATGCCGAGGGACAGTTGATAGAAGACGGTTATCCTGTTTGCAGCACGAGCAGAAAAAGTGTCTGTGAAAGGCAGCAACGCTTCTGCGTGACCATCACCCACAACTCTACAGTCAACGCAAGGCAAGTTAACATTAGCGTTTTAGCTAAAATGCGTGATCCGAGGATTCGGGTTGAGGGAGAATGCAACGAGGCGCTATATAAAGCAGCCGCAGCGCCGCTACCTGCATATAAACCGTGTCGCGGACACCCCCATGTTGAAATGACGCTATGCATTACGGGGCTCCCAGGGGCAGATAAGAGTTGGTCTCTCTCTCCGAGAATAATTATGAATTTAACAATGATTACTGCCTGATGACATTTTCCCACATCTGCAAAGCTCACTGGAAGGACACAAACCGAGGACAATATTTTCCTGATATAGGATTTATTACTCAAGTGAGGGTAAAAAAGTATCTGATTAGAAGGCTACTTGAGTACTGAGTATCATCTGATGTAATATTTTTAAATTATGACAACAAACAGACAAAAAATAAGAAGTTATGGGCAAATATTGGTATTTTAAATACTAAAGGGGAAAAATGTAAACAAATAGACATAATTACAAAATAACACATTTTAGGCAAAACTTAGACACAAACATGAGAATTATGTATAAAAGGCTCTATATTATATTTATCTTGGGGTGTTGTTCACAAGTGAAGGAAAGATGGAGCATGAGATCGGCAGCCGGATTGGTGCTGCGTCTGCAGTGATGTGGCCAGTGTACCGGTCTGTTGTGGTGAAGGGAGAGCTGAGCTGTAAGGCTAAGCTCTTGATTTACTGGTCGATCTATGTTCCTACCCTTACCTTTGTTCACGAGCTTTGGGTAGGAACAGAAAAAACAAGACCACAGATACAAACGGCTGAAATGAAGTTTTCTCCGGAGGGTGTCTGGGCTCTCCCTAACAGACAGGGTAAGAAGCTCAGCCATCCAGGAGGGGCTCGGAGTAGACCCGCTGCTTCTCCACATCGATAGAAGAAAGTTGAGGTGCCTCCTGGACGCCTCCTTGGTGAGGGTTTCTCAGCACATCCAACTGGGAGAAGACCTAGTGGAAGACCCAGGACAAGCTGGAGGGTCTATAGGTGTGTTTCCACTACAGGAACTTCAGGGTCAATTTGCAGTAGCTTCCTGACATGCGCATGTCTCCACTTGACCAGGCCAGCCGAATGGAGGAACTTTCTGGGTACCTGATCAAGGTAGGTACTCAGAACGGCCTGGTGGAGTAGATGGTGCTGTTGGGTTGAGTGGCTGAGGTGAGGATCCAAACGCAGGTGAATTAAAACTGGCAGGCTGGTGAGGACATTTTAAGAGATTTAATGAAATGCTTGCTGACAAGGAAACACAAAACTGGGAGGGTTTAAATACACGAGGGGCTGGGACCTACAGTGACTGGGAGACGAGAGGCAGGTGGGAGCAATCAGGAGAGACACAGGACTGAACAGGATGGGGAGACAGGACAGGTTGTGACAGGGTGAAACCTTTAGTTAACTCAAGCCGATTGGTTGTAACTTAGTAGGAAATGACATCAGCAGATGCTGTTCAAAACAAGCGGCTTTAGTAAAATTAGAAGAGTTACATGTGATGCAGAATGGAAGCAAAAATAAAAAAGAAAGCACAGAATGCACTGCTTTAAAGAGGCCGTTACGAAACTTCAAACACTGGAAAACACGGGGAAATTCCCCCACAACAACGTACTTCACTGGGCTTTGTTGTCTCACAGGGCGCCATAAAAAATTTAGCTTCTAATGGACATTGATTCCACATTTCACATAATGTAGATGTTCTCATCTTCTGCATGGATTAAATGATCATATACTTTGACTTATACTCTTAAGGTTATTGTGGACGCTTTTTGTTCAGTGACATCACTCACAGCCAAAGTGGTCACAATGTGCTGACGTCTGTGCAAAGTCCTGAAAGGGCTGAATTTCAATGGAGACACAACAGTTGAGAGGACCAGGACATCGTATCTCCTGGTCAATTCCCTTGCCCCAGAATTTACCCTGAAGTTTCGGCAATGGAAACATGGCTTATTTTTCGCGGCAGGCCTTGGGATTCCCCCGGAGGAGCTAGCCAAAGTGGCTGGAAAGAAGGAAGTCTGGGCCTCTCCGCTTAGGTAACCTCCACTAAGCAGATAAAAATGGATGGATGGACTGATATTATATCTTTTACATAAATCCAAAATACCATGTCCTTTTTAGAATTCATATTTTTCTGTTTTTATCTTTTCAAAAGAGATGTGCCAATGCAAATTATTTAAAAAGGCAACATAAAGGAATGGTATAGAAGGTTAACCACAGTCTCGTGTGAGAAGGCGTCTCACATAAGACTCTGGATGTTCCAGGACTTTATGAAAACATGTTTGCTCATGATATGTGTCACCCTCCTGGCTGGCTCGCCAATTAATTTAGGTGTTTTATGTTACTTACAATGAGTCAAAGGGCCCATGAAATGGCAGCTAGAAGATTCATTTCAATTATCATGAAATCAGTTTTTTGTGATCAGACAAAGTGCCACTTTTGACCTTTAACAGAGCAAACAACACAATCCTCCCATTTCTTGGGAATCTCCATGGTAGTAATCTGAATACTGTAGTTTGGTTTTAACCCTCTGGAGGCAGGCACTGCAGATTTGCAATGTTAAAACCTACCTACCTGGTTACTCCACATACGTATTTCATGAGCATTTTTAAACTCAGAAGTACCCCTGAAGGACTTAGTTGTTCGTCCTTTTATCTAAACTTATTTTGAGCCTGAGAGGCTTAAGACTGCCTTTATGCTGCTGGTCAAACCACTTGTTCTTACCATAATAATACTAATACTTATAATAATAATAATAATAATAATAATAATAATAATAATACATTGAACTTATATAGCGCTTTTTAGGACACTCATCACCATGAACAATTGTGCAAAAAAAGGCCCATCTTCTGAAGTCTGATCCAACCGAGCTCACGTCCAAGCCTCAGTTCTGTGTCCGGTGACAGTGACAAATAGGAGCAATCTCTTTGGTGAAGGGTGAGGCACCAATGAAAGGAACGCATAAATCAACACAGTCAGATGTCCTCAAAAGGTTTTACCAAATATGTCCACCAACATCATTCATAGCACAAAGCCCTAAAAGTGTTATGGGGAAGGACTGAGAAGAAGAAGAAAATATCATTTCTATAGCGCCTCTCAAGATAAAAATCACGAGGCGCTTCACAAAAACAACAAATGTAAAAATATTTAAAAAAATTCACAAAATGGTTAAAAATATATTTAAAATGAGCAAAAATAGACAATTGTGATTAAAAAATGTTAAGAAAGAGAGAGAGTGAATAGGAGGGAGGAAAATCAGGGGATCTGAGGTGTAAGGCTGTGTTGTAAATTGCAAAACCACAGGAAGGATAAACTCTGTGAGTACTTGTGGCTTTTCCAAACATCAGAGAATAAACCTTTTATGAAAGAACTCTGAGAAAAAGAAATCAATGTGTTAAAAATGAGAGAATTTCCACTCGAGTGGGAAGCTGAGAAGAATAGATTGCCTACCCATGAGTCTCATTACTTTTGATTAAAAGTAAGATTCACACAAAGCACCACATAATCATGTAATCAGACTTTTTCTTTCATTTGTTTAAAGCACAAGACATATCTATCTAATTCATTAAAAATGTTGTCTTAAAAGGATATTTCACCCTAAGTGAAATGTTGTGCATTTCCGTATTCCCCAGAGTTAGATAAGAGAGAAAAAATCATTTTGTAACCAGTGCAGTAATTCTCCTGGTCTGGCAGCAGTCTGTCTGCTTTAGCTTAGCATAAACAATGGGAATGAATAGCAGATACTAGCATTTTTTGTGCAAAAGTTATAAAAATGACTCAAGGATGATACCAATTATTCTTGGTGAGCTCAATAATCATGTCGACTGCAAATGAAAAGTAAAAAATAACACAAAGGATTTCCAGGAGCCAATTTACACTTGGGAATACATTATGACAAAGAACTTCTGTTATGGCGCATAGATATAACACAGCGGGTGTGTTTGGTGATAAAAATTCTCTAGGAATAAAAATTCACAAAATTTTTAATTATATTAATTTTACTAAAAGGTTTAGGTAAAATATAGACTTCAGCCAACTCAAAGTACAATAACACACAAACTTTCTGCTCATTTAGGCCCATCTACAGCTTCAAGTACCTATGTTTATTAGTGCGTCATATCTATGTTTTTATTTCTTTCCTTTATACTAATATCTTTGCTCCAAATACTACTAACAAGACTTTAGCTTTAATGTTTAACTTCCTCTGTGATAGAGTAATTCTTGGGCTTGTTTGGTTCTGTTCTTCTGCTAGATGACGAGTCCAAAAAAGAGTTAACTGATGAACAACATTGGCTTTTCATCAGCTTTTCCTTGCTGCAAAGTTTCCACTATTGGTCTAAAAAAAACTGTCACTTTAAAGATTCCTGAACACGTGTATCTTTTACTTTATGTTTAGAAGAAGTTCAGAAGTGATACAACACAATTATACCCAAGTTCAATTGGGAAAATCCATTCATACAATATTACTTAAAATATGCAATTCATTTAAAGTTACAATGCAAGTGTTTGGTCCTCATTATAGATTAAATGGCTAGGATTTTATTTGTACATAAAACAATGCATGACCATTAATCATTATTTGACCTACTTTAATGGTTTTACAAATGATACTTCTAAAATGTAAAACCAACAACATGTTAAAAATGAATACCAATGAAAATCTAATCAACAGATTAATTAAAAGGATGAGGCAGAACCACGGTCAGATGTAAAAGCCTTTTCGAGCATGAATCATCATTCAGAATAAAACTCAATCCGAGTGTAACCAATCAGTTTGAAGGAAATATCTCCTGGTGCAGAAATAAAAAGCCAACAATTTGTGTCCATAAACACAATCAACCGCTATTACTGGGAAAAATAACAGAATGTCTATGTAATTAAAATATTTGCAGCACTTTATTAAGTATTCATGCACTCTGTCTTTTGATCCGTTGCGTGATTGGCATATATAAAACTAAACTGTAGAACGAAGAGTTGCACAGTTTTAGATTTTTTTTAACTAACTGTGTGTGTGTGTGTGTGTGTGCTAGAGGTGAGATCTGTTACGTAGACAGAAAAGTGGTAGCTCCAGTATGAAAAGAATGCCTCTTAAGGCAGATGTTGTGTGCTTTTCCCCAGGGAATACAGGTGCCACATTAATCCTGGCTGCAGCTCCTTTTTATGCATTTTAGCCATCGTAAGCGCTGCACACTAAATATCTTATGGATCAATCCAAGCCTGCTTGTGTGCCATCAGCCTCTCATGCAAAAAAAAAGAAAAAAGAAAAACTACCGTAATTGGAAATGGAGCAACTCCAGAAGAGCAGGCTGCTTATCAGACATTAACTTTATTACATAATCACAATAATAACCAGTCAGTTGCCTGTTTGTGGACAAGACAGCTTAGATTGGAAATTGACAAAAAAGAAGTAGCTAAATGTAGTATAGAGCGGATTAAAGTCCTACACAGAACAGATGTTTTCTTACCACTGTCTTCAGCACAGAGGTGAAAATCTTGGTATCTTCTGTGACGCCTCCTATGTACAGTGGTCTGGGGAAGATGGGAGGGTTGTCGTTCTCATCCTCAAGTTGGATGAAGACTTTGGCCGTGTTAGCTACAAAAAGTGCACAGCAAGGGGAAAAATGCAAAACATATGAAAGACATTCAGGTTCAGGCTCACATCTAGATCCAGTTTTAATTCCTACAGTGTATTACAACAGCCCATCTAGGCCACCGTCTCATCTGGGTTTGCTGCACCCTTGTGAATGTAAAACTGAGGAATATGGGCTAAAAAACTGATGTGATCATTGAGAAGTAGATTAATCAATCAAGCAAGCCACAGATGGTCAGTTGCTGAATAATTTGGACATGGAAGAGTCAGAGGAGAGTTGGTCATCAGCATGCTCCACATCTTCAAAAGAAATCCTGAAACTATTCCCTGGATTATTTTTATATTTATTAATTCACATAGACTATTTCAGTAAAAGGAAAAAAAAATCTGTATAAAAAACAGTTTTTAAATCAATTTCACCTTCATTTAGAAATGGAGGCAGCTGCTTTCATTTGCTTTTGCAACGTGACTAAAAGTTAGAAGTGGACTTAATTTGTTTTAAAGCAGTTTTCAGCAGTGCACTGATCATCCTTTGAAGTGGATCTGTCTTTCCATGGGAGTAAAAAAATGTTTTCCTGTTCTCATGAAAGAGTGTCAGAACCTATTTTGGTCGTTATTAAATTCGTGCCAATAATGAGGAGGTTCATTTTATTTTGAACTAATCAAATATTCAGAGGAAAAAATATGAAAATGAAAATCATCCAGTAGTATGTTTCTGACTTCTACTGGCCCACAAGCAGACTGGGATAACAAACCACTTTGCAGTCGTTTTAATCTTGTAGCGTGATGAATTGTCCATTTCTGACCTAAAAGGCCCTACTCTGTATTGCTCTGCTCAAAGCAAAACCAGAAGTTTCTGACACAGAACTAATCTGCATGAGATATTGCTCAAGGTCTCATGCTCTGCTTCTAAACTGTGTCTTATTTTCCAGCTCAAGAGAAGAATGAAGACAAAGGACTCTTTCTTTTAATAAATCAGAAGAACTCTATTTTTAATAAGGCTAATCAAACAAAGTGTTAGTCCAATAATAAAATGTGAACCAATCTGTGAAATGACAATATTTATAATCAGTGGTATTATAATAAGTAATATAACTTTAAATGTCTCCTCCTTGAACCATCACCTTATCGTGGTGGAGGAGTTTGAGTGCCCTAATGATCCTAGGAGCTATGTTGTCTGGGGCACTTTGTGCCCCTGGTAGGGTCTCCCATGAAAAATTGGTCTTAGGTGAAGGGCGAGACAAAGAACGGTTCAGAGGATCTTTCATGGATGAACTATCAAGGAGTTGGAGTACCCAGCCCGGAGGGTTACCGGGTACGTAGACCAACAGAATGGCGTCTCAATGTGTGTTATAACTTTCCCAAAATAAGCTTAGCGCAAAACATAATCTTCACTCCCATTAGAACTAATCGTTTCACCGGATCTGCTGGTTCTGATCGTATTCACACATACACCATTCTCAGTCTTACTTCACCTTAGTTACACCGTACATCTAGTGTTTAGTTAGTCTAGTTTTAATTTGTTTAGTAATAAATCTTTAAACTTTTAAAGCTTGACTCACTCTCTTTTCTTGAAGTTAATACGAAGTGTTGCTCAATCCCTGCAATAAAAAGATCTGATCTTCTGATTAAATTTACTTAAAGATCCATTAAGGTGATATTTCATACTTCGTGATATTTCACATTTTATGGTTTCTAATTAAATGTAGGAACATCTTCTCTACAATCTAGATATATATTACTAAAAACAATTATCTGCAAAACATTTACATGCAATCCTATGAAACACTGTTTTCAGACATTATTCTACGTGTTGCTGAAATGGAACTTAAGCTGATTTCCGCTTTACCCTAACTTGATTTTTTGTGCAACCAAACATATTCACAGTGCCCCGCTAACAAAATATAGCCCTTCCTCTCAAATTTGCCACACATCTGCTTATGCAATTGCACACTTACTGTATGCACTGTGAAAAAACACAAATAAAAAAAGTCCAAAACTGCAGCCCAGGTAAATGCAATGTCAAGGACCATTTTTCTTCTGGCTGGATGCAAAAAATGTAAATTCATGTGGCATGAGAACAGAGGATGCACCGGGGGAATTGGCCAAACAAAACACAGCATATCATATTACACACAATAGGTGCAGTGTGCAGCACAGGAGGAGGACTCAAGGGGATAAAAAGAGGTCTGCATAGTTTATTTTCTCTTTCCTCTCTTTGTAAAAGTGGCCATATTCCCTTAAGGCATAAAAACGTAAATACTGCTGTTCCCCTGTTCTACTCCACACTCATAAACATGAGTGAAATAAGAAAAAATAGTACACTATAAGAGGACATATTGCTTCTGATGCAGAGTAAGTAAGAGTCCCCAATAAAAAGGATTTTCATCAACAAAACAAGTACACAATTTTGGTTTCTGGATTATAATATGAGCATATCTAAATATCTGTGTATTGCATGATGTGTAAAGGATGATGAAAGGTCTATAAAGATCTGACTAAACAGCCTATCTGGTGCTCTGATAATTTAACAAAAACGTTCTCCATCATTAAATGAATGTGAAGTGAAAAAATTATCAGTGTCTGTACACTTGCCCAGAAAGTCTCCCTAATGTGTGAGACATAGTGCTCTATGTTCATGGTGTGTGTGCCTGACTAGTGTTTACTTGTAATTACTGTCATTAGTATGTGAGGGACATGTAGAGTGGAAGAGAAGAAAGAGGAAGGAAAACTACGTCATTAATTAGTCATTGAACTTTAATGGTAGCCAGTTCTTCATTCATCCCTGTATGAGACTGGTATGTTGGTGAACTGGCCATTACCAGTCCTGCAGACATTCTATATGAAGTATATACGTCAGCGCTAGAAAGTTCTGAGAATGGAATAATCAAAGTATTACAAATATCCCCAGGCTATGGGAAACATACTTAAGAGTAACGTGTCCCAGAACGTTTGCAGTCTGTTTTTAAAGTGTTACGCCTCCAAAACATTGCAAACTTTTGGATTGGGCAAGACAGGAAATCAAACACAAAAGCATCCATTCATCTTCTTAAAAGCATCCCTTCATCTTCTTTTACCCGCTCATCCACGCAGGGTCGCTGCAGAGCTGGTGCCTATCTCCAGCTGTCTTTTGGGCAAACAGGCAGGGTACTCCCTAAGCAGGTTACCAGTCCATTGCAGGGCAACACAAAGACACACAGGACAAACAAACATGCACACACACGCACACACATGTGCACAGGAAGAACATGCAAACTCCTTGCAGAGAGATGTGAACCCAAGACCTCCTTGCTGCAAGGCAACAGAGCTAGTCACAGCACCACTGTGCAGCCCAACACGAAAGCAGTTTAAAATATTTGAATTTTGAAATTAAAAGTCACATGCAGATAAATGTACATCATTTTATGTTAAAACCTTTGTAGCCGATGTAAACAGAACAGAAAGGAAGCCACAGACCTTTTTGGATAGATGCAGATGTCTTTCTGCTTGGTTGTTATGGTGTGAACTTCTGAAATCGCTACTGTTTTGCATCAGAATCGCTCTCTGTTAAATGGGAGCTTGCAGGTATTTATATCTATTTCGCTAAACATCGCTCTCGCGTTCAGTGGAAAGAAGGCTTAATAATTATAGTATTACAAGACAAGTACAATAACAAGCAACTCTACTTGCTAAAAGGTGATAAATTAACTCATAACTCAGATTTACTGGTACCACAGTACAATAACGGAGGTTTTGCACCAGGTGTGTAAGCTTTCTGTAACGTCTGCCAAGGGTTGCACACAGCTAAGAGCCACTGATATAGTCCATTGGTGCATTTCCACTGGCCACTAAGCAGCAAGTTTTAGAGCCAGATGTGTTGCTTGGCTTTATTTACACCTCAGAACACGTCAAGCTCAGCAGTTCAGATCAAACCAATAAGTCAAACCCAAGAGCAGTGTTTGGTAAATTTCTAAATAAGACACAAGCAAATTTCCAGTTGCTTAACTAGTAAAATAAAGATGCATATGACGCCTCTGTGGCCCAGGTAAGAAGGACAGGACATAAACCACAGACCTTTTTTAAAATACATGCTGCAGTCTTTCACCCTGGCTTGATATCAGGTGAACTACTGGAATTATGCCGGGTTTTGTAGTTCTTCAATGATTTCTTGACCCCGCAGGAACAGCTGCGTGGAATGCTTTCACTGCCGATTTGTGTCTGAAATGCTCCCAGTGGGAACAGATGTGCTGCTGAGCTTGGAGAAAACGTGTCTATTATGTTACACAGCCAGTGGAAAGCCCGGGTTAGAGTCTCCTTATGAACGGCTGATACATAGTTTGTAAATATGTTATTAATTAATCCCTAACCACTTTATAAATCATTAATACCTAGCCATTGTGCATTAATTAAAAGCACAAAAGAGACAAAACTGACTTGATTCTTGTGAAACAATGAGCATACTACCTTATAAGCACTAAAAGCACTTAAAAATAATTTTAGCATATAATATTGTATTTCCTCACTTCATTGTAAATATTCAAAATTAATCAAATGAGCCTTATTGTACAATTTATTAATGACAACTAAAATTTTCGAAAAAGTAAAAAAAATAATTCTCAAAGTGTTTAAAAATGCTCACTGGGCTTACAAGATTGTGACTTAAGCCTGATTTATGCTTCTCCGTCTGCGTCAGTGCGGAGACACGCAACGCCATTATCCGTCCTTGCGTAGGGATCCGGCAGGCACGCAAGTACGTACGGAGTCGAGCCAACTTTTTTAAACATCCGTCGAACGAGACGGATTACGTAAGCTTGTGATTGGTCAGGACGCCGCTGTTGTTTACAGCGCCGCCACTGCAAAGAGAGCCGAGTTTAACTAGCGGCAGACACGGAGAAGATTGAAGAATACCTCGCGAAAAAACTAAAAATATGAACGTTTTATCCTCCTGTGACTGGAGGAGTGAAAAGATGCGCAGCAAGCATTTTATTTGTGGACGGAAATGACAGGAAACGTGGGTTTAGAGGTGGGGAGCGCATGAAAAGGTGGGAGAATGAGAGACAAATATGTCCGTGTTAAAAGTCTCTTATATATACAAAAAACACAATATAAACGATCTTGGACCGATACATGACAGGATACCACAGAACAGCGCTACGCCCTCTGTTGTCCTGCCGGGCAATTGCTTTGCAACACTCTCCAGGAGACGGAGAAGTAAAAGAGCAAAACGCTTCCGTCAATCCGTGCGTGTCTGTCCCTTGCGGAGCTGACGGAGAAGCATAAACCAGGCTTAAGTCTTAAATGTTTAAAATAGGTGCTAATTACATTGGTGAACAGATCTGGATCACTATTGTCAGGATCTGCTCCATCTGCCCCGACTGTTTTGTGTCTCGTCTCTCCTCGGTACCCTACCCACCAGTTCTCTGATTATCCTCGTGTATTTAAACCCTCTGTCTGTGCGTGTCTTTGTCAGATCCTCGTCTTGTCTTCTCGGCGTGTCATCCTGCCTGCCATTATTCAGATGAAAGAGCTCTTTTGACCTGCCAGCCTGCTCCCCTGCATATGGGTCCAAACCAAACAACACCACTTCATGACCAAAGTGGTCTCTTTTGTCCTTTTCTTGCTTTTAATCAATGCACAATAAACACTTCTTAATTATTTATTAAGCATTACAGTGAAAACAATTATCTATAAACTATTTATTAGCCTTTTATGAGGAGCGCATTAATGTAAAGTGGTACCGATTTATTTGGGTCATTCGTTCAAACTAAGACCACTTAAATTTGGGCTGCCTGCAAGAGCAAACCAAACACATCAAACACCTCAAAGGCAACATTTACAGCTGTGTTGAAAGACCAAATAGCAGCTTTTTCTGTACTCAAATGCCTTCAAAACTGGAACACATAGGAGCTAAGTTAATTGAAAATGTCTTGTGATTAATGTTATTCACACACACTCACTTTGGTGGGCTGGCCTGACTAAATTAAAATCGATGGTTATTAAAAAACGGTCTTCCAGTCCAACTTTGCAAAGTATTGGAATGTAAAATAACAACTATTCAGCAATAAACCTACTTTTTTATATTAGTCGGCGCTGTCGTTGCTAATTCAAAGGAACATCCAAAACCGGCGTAGTAAAAACCTCACCTACCTGGACGACTTATCTACTTAAAGTTAAAATATTGAGATATAGACTCATAATAAAAGACGTCTCTACATCCTGTTTTATGACCCACTAGAAGTGGGTGATGGGGCTTCTCTCTGGTGTGTCATCCTCTGCTGAACATCCCATATGTCTTGTTTTGAGTGGCTGGAGTGAAGATTAGAAAACGATTGTTAAATCTTTATGAGAGTGTTGTTTTTTGTTCCAGTTGTCTACACAAAAACCCAGAAAGAAACTCTGCAGCACACATGTAATTCACTGGCAGAAGGCAGACTCTCGTAAAATCTGATGCTGTGAAAAATATCTAATTCAATACTTTTTGTATTTGTACAATTTTGTTTAATTCAACATGTTGGATTGAATGAATCTTGCCCCGCCCACAACTCTGGCATCTGATGATACCAGAAACAGGAAAGGATTTTAAAGAAACCTTCCTTTGGCTGACTGGGGCTGAGGAACAGCTTCAAAACCTAAAAGAACCAGTCAGCCAAGCAAGACCTGGCAATTGGCAGCTTTCAGTTTGACTGGGTCCTCATAGCACATATGCAAACTGGCTGTAAAGACTCGGCTTTTAAGCAGCTTTGATTTGTTCCAGGAATACACAATACATAAAAAGCAGTTTGACATCTTTTTAAAAATCAACCCAGTGTATGCTGTGTACATTTTAGTGAACACAGCGTGTTTTAGACATCAGACCACATAGAAAAAATCCTCAGTTTTCATTCAAAAACCCATCAGACTAAATAGTGTCAGATAAAAAGGTCGTAGGAAAAAGACATCAGGCAGAAAGGAATCAGGAAAAACTGCATCAGGCAAAAAATTTGGCAAACCTAAATCCATCACACAGCTTTTTCCTGATGACTTTTGGTTTGACACCTTTTTCTGATGGCTTTTGATTTGTTCTTTTTGTCATTATCCAAAGCTCATGACCATAGGTGAGGATTGGGATGTAGATCAAGCGGTAAATTGAGAGCCTTCCTTTCTGGCTCAGCTCCCTCTTCACCACGACAAATCGGTTCAGTGTCCAATCCGCTTGTCCATTTCCCGCTCCCTCCTTCCCTCACTCGTGAACAACACCCCGAGATGCATAAACTCCTCCACTGCAGCATGTGCAGTGATGCGGACGCTGAGCCGATCTGTTGTGGTGAAGAGGGAGCTGAGCCAGAGAGCAAGGCTCTCAATGTATCGGTCGATCTATGTCCCAATCCTCACCTATGGTCATGAGCTATCGGTGATGACCAAAAGAACGAGATCGTGGATACAAGTGGCCGAAATAAGATTCCTTCGCAGGGTGGCCGAGCTCAGCCTTAGGAATAGGGTAAGGAACTCGGACATCTGGGAGGTACTTGGAGTGGAGCCGCTGCTCCTCCGCATCGAAAGGAGCCAGTTGAAGTGGTTCGGGCATCTGGTCAGGATGCCTCCTGGACGCCTCCCTCGGGAGGTGTTTTAGGCATGTCCTGCTGGCAGGAAGCCCACGGGTCAACCCTGGACTACCTGGAGGGAAAGCATCTGTAGGTTGGCCACGGAACGCCTGGGTGTCCAAGCTGAGGAGCTGGCCGACTTGGCCGGGGAAAGGATTGCCTGGGAGGCCCTACTTGGGATGCTGCCCCCACAACTCAGACCCCGGATAAGTGGAGGAAGGTGAGGTGAGGTGAGGGACTTTTGGTTTGACAACTTTTTTCTGACAACTTTTGGTTTGACAACTTATTTCCTAAAGGCTTTTAGTTTGACTCTTTTTTTCCCCTGAAAGTGTTTATCCTGATTCCTTTTTGTCTGGTGCTTTTTTTCCTCCAATACCTTTTTGACTGACACTATTTAGTCAGAAGTCTGATGGGTTTTTGAATGAAACCTGAGGCTTTTATCTCTATGGTGTGATGTTTGACACCTGAGACCTGAGGATGTCATGTTGAGAAGGAGGAGGATTGACCCACAATGCAGAACACCAGAATCACTCAAAGCAGGAGCAGTCGTATAAATGAAAATTCCTTTATTTTGGATGATGAGTGAGTTCCAAAGGGGCAGGAAGCCAAGCCTAAAGTCAGTAACCCGACTGACAAAAACAAAAAGCTCCTTGATGAGCAAAACCTAGAGTTTCACGAGGGGGAACAGAACAACACTTACAACAACAATGGACCGACAAACACTGAAGCCCCCTTCAGACAGGCCATGAAAAACGGAAATGTTCCGGACTCTGTCCGTAAGACCTTTGTGTCTGAATACAAACATCCGGATAACATGTTCCGGAATTTATCCGGACGAAGCCCCTAGTAACAGGTCCGGACTTGTTACGGACAGGGTGGCTGATTCAGACTGGTGAGGTAAAGTTCCGGACAAGGGGGAGGGGGAGGAGGAGGGGACCGGGGACGCTGTGCGCACCTAGAGCCCGCTCCTGCAGAATGCGGCGAACCATGGCAGCTTGCTTCCTACGGTATCGCCTAGACGCGCGACGGAGCGCTTCACACCGCTTCAGTGATTCCTTTAACCATTGAGCTTCATCATCCAGGTCTCTTATGCGTCTTCGTGTGCGCAGAATTAAGCTTAAGCGCCTCGTGATTTTTATCTTGAGAGGTGCTATAGAAATGATATTTTCTTCTTCTTCTTCTTCTTCTTAACATGAGTCCGATTCTCTCTCCCCCCACCCCCCCACCATCACCCCGCCGCCGTCAGACATCTGGAACTTTTCCCTGCTGTGTGAACGCAGCCGAAAGGACAAGTTCTGGTACAAAAGTGGTGCGTCTGAAAACACAGTTCCGGTTAAAAACCAGATTGAATTGTCCACAAATGTTCCAGAATGTCTATCTGAAAAGGGCTTGAGAGACAAGACAGGGTTTTATACACAGGGGCTGGGTGATTAAGGGAATTGGGCACAGGTGAGATTGATAACTGAGAGGAGGAGCACAAAAGGGCAGGTGAGGAAACAAGACCCAAACTCTGTAAGACAAAGCTACTGAATGTAAATAAACCTAAACACTGTAGAAATAAGACTAAAGACAAATAAACTCATGACCTCAGAGTGACAGAACTAATTATACTAAGGCAGGAGAGGATCATACTTAAATGGGGAAGAAACACAATACACTAAAGGGAGATATGAACTACATAATCTAAAATAACAGAAAACTAATGATAAGTGAAGTGACTAGAGGGAAACCTGGAGAAGCTGGGGACCAAAAGGGGCACAGAAGATTAGAGGACACATGAGGGGAACCAGGAGGGGGCTGGGGACCACGAGGACACAGAACACGACAGAGGATGTCCTAAAATGTAAGCCGCACTAGTGTTATTCAATATAAAACAAGAATACTCAGCCAAACTACTGATTGTGCTGGTTATGCTTCTGGTGTGTCTTCAGAAGTATAGACATCTTAGCTAACAAGTTTATTTTCCATATTCTTTTCAGCCATAGCCAATTATTTTTACTAATAGTGATTAAAAAACGTTTTTGCCATTTCATATGTAACAGAAAAAAAAGGTTCACTAGCAAAAGACAAAACAACAACAGCTACTTTAGTAATTGCTGACAAGTCTTACTTTTAGAAGGCACACGCAGGTTGGACATGACAACCAACATGGAGTCTGCCTGTACCCTGAGGACATAGCTGGTAATGTTCTCATAGTCCAGACGTTTTGCAGTGGAGATGACACCTGTCCTGTTATTCACCCTAAAGTGACCTAGAAGCAAGTAGCAAAGAGAGAAAAAGTGATTAAACAGAGCTTATTCTTTAAATTGCACTTCCTAATTCAGAATTGTTTTGCTTTGCGTTGAAAGATCACCACAGGAGTTGTTCCAAGTGCAAAACAATATGAGAGTTCTGACAAGAAGTTTTCTTTTCTTTATTCTTCACTTTCCTGATGTGAATATATATTTCCTGCTTGGGGCTGAATAACCTTAGCTTACCCTACTCTCACGCTTGGGAGTAATAATCCTCTTCAGACTTTGTGGTGCAAAAAACTAAATAAAAATGTATAATGATATATATATATATATGTATGCATATATATATATATATATATATATATATATATACATACACTGATGTTGAAAGACAAACTGCACTGAAAACTGTATACTTTAACATTTGAAAGTAACCTGGGTTTCTTTTTATTCCAAAACTCATCTGCATCTCATTAGAAATAAACAAAGTTTTCATGTTTACCATTGTAAAAAAAATGCAATAGAAATGCTTTATACTGCAAACTCAGTCTATCAGTAACTGAGAAACATGTTTGGACATGTTGTCATGGTCTGCGTTTTGCGTCCCCCTCATCATGTGTCTCCTTGTGTTCTCCACCCCTCTCTAGGTTCCCCTTATGTGTCTCCTTGTGTTCCTCATGTGTCTCCTTGTCTGCATCCCCCCTCAGGTGCCTCCCTGTGGTCCCCAGCCCTCTCCAGGTTCTCTCCAGGTTTCCCTCATGTTTTCCCTTAGTCACTTTTCTTATCATTAGTTTTCTGTTATTGTAGATTGTCTAGTTTGTTTCTCCCTTTAGGTATCATCCTTCCCTGTCTTCCAGTGTTTTGGTTTTATTACTCCTAGATCATTAGTTTTATTATCTTTAGTTCTCCAGTGTCTTATTTCTACACGTGTTTCAAGTTATTTAGTTCAGTAGCTTTGTTTAACAGGTTTTAGTTGGGGCCTTCCTCACCTGCCCTGTTCTGCTCCTCCTCTTGGTTATTAACATCACCTGTGCCCAATCCTCCAAATCACCCAGCCCCTGAGTATAAAAACCCTGTCCTGTCTTTCTGTGTTTGTCAGTCCATTGTTTGTGTCAGCGTTGTTCTCGTTCCCTCTCTTGGTCTCTAGGTATAAGGAAATCTCTAGGTCTCTTGGTTTTTGGATATCTCCAGGTCTGCTCTTTAAAAGGAGCACTTGGTCTCTAGGATTTACGCATTAAGAATTAGGATTTATGCTTTTGGCTTCCTGCCCTATTTGGAGTTTTACTTTGGACGATTATCCCTAATAATTTGGCTTCCTGCCCTATTGGATTTACTTTTGGACAATCGCTCCAAATACAGGATTTTTACATTTATTTCAACTCCTGCCTCGTGTCTCCCTGGCTCTGCATCTTGGGTCCTAACCTCCCCCCTACTCGCATTGTGACACATGGAGTGTAAGGAAACAACACAATCCAGTTTAATAACCCAAAGAAAAACAATAATTTAGGGTGAATTTTCTGCATAATAAAGCTCATACCAAGTTCATTTCCTCCAACAATAGAATAGTAGATGGTCTGATTGGTAGCAGCAGCCGCTAGAATCGTCCCCACTGGAGTGCCAGTTGGAACCAACTCTTTGACTGGAGGAAATCTGAAATGACAGGGACCAAAAATCATGACAGTCTAATCCAACAGAGTGGCAATAGTCCAGAACCACAACTACGGAATTATTTCAGATGCATACATAGGTTGTTATACAATATTTGTATGCATGTGAGAAGAGCGATTTGTACACAACTGGTCTGCTTTGGATATGTAAACCGATGCTCCCAAATTCCCTTTATTTAATTTTTTCACTTTGTGGTTTCATATTTTTTTCTATTATTTATCCATGGTCACCCATAGGGAGCTCAATTTACTGCTGGATTTCCAAGCTCAAATGTGTACTGATTTTCATGTGGACCCATCTTTCAGAACAAAAACACTGATGAGAAAACATAAAAGTTATTTTTATTTAATTAGCAGTGTAGTTGCTGCAGCTTAACGTTGGGACTTTAATATTGTTTTTACATACATTTGCATGGTAAAGATAGCCGTTTGTTATCCTGTGCACGATACCATCCATTTATATATGAGATCATGTTCACTTCCACACTGAGGGACAAAATAAACAAAGGGTCCAGAGATAATATGGGACATAGTTGACTAGATATCCAGCATGCTTTATTTACAAAGCCAAAATACCAGCTATAATTTCAAAGTTGTTGCTTTTCTGAGTATGAATAGCAAAAATATATATTAATTTTGCCATGTAAATGTACTTACTATTTCAAAAGTATTTAAAACCCTTAAACATTTACTCAATTTGACACAACCACAAACATAATTGTTTTTAATTAAGTTTTCTGTGATAGACTAACACAAAATAGTACATAATTGTGAAGTGGAATAAAACTGATACAATGTTTCAAAACATTTATGCAAATAGCTGTAAGTCCGTCCGTCCGTCCGTCCGTCCGTCCGTCCATCCATCCATCCATCCATCCATTGTTTTCTGCTTATCTGGAGTCGGTTCACGGGGGCAGCAGCCTAAGCAGGGAAAGCCAGACCTCCCTCTCCCCAGCCACTTGGGCCAGCTGCCCTGTGGGTATCCCAAGGCGTTTCCCGGCCAGCCAAGGGACATAGTCCCTCCAGCGTGTCCTGAGTCGTCCTGTGGGTCTCCACCCGGTTGGACGTGCTCGGAAAACATTACCAGGGAGGCGTTCAGGAGGCATCCTAACCAGATGCCTGAGCCACCTCAACTGGCTCCTGTCAATAAGGAGGAGCAGCGGATCTACCCCAAGCCCCTCCCAGATGACCAATCTTCTTACCCTATCTCTACAGGAGAGCCCAGACACCCTGCGGAGAAAACTCATTTCAGGCACTTGTATCCATGATCTCATTCTACTGGTCACTACCCAAAGCTTGCGACCATAAGTGAGGGTAGATCGTACATCAACCAGTAAATTGAGAGCTTTGCCTTCTGACAGACAGCCCATTACAATGGCCACATCACTGCGGATGCAGTACCAATACCAAATATTGACATTTTTGTCCATTATTTGCTGTAAAACAGCTCAAGCTAACCCAGATTGGATGGAGAGTATTTTGGTACAGCAGTATTCAAGTCTTGCCACAGATGCTCCATAAGATTTAGACCTGGTGGGTCTAGACGAGAAAAGAACCAATCAGAGTTTGGAGCCTATATTTGAACAAGCTAATGGTAAACATATAGGTTGATAATAGTTGAACAATTTATGTTTAAAACAAGAAAATGTTGACGGCTGGATGAGCAAGCATTAAATATGACCATCTGAAAATGCTTTACTTGGTGAGTACACATCCAGGGTCTTTCCTGGTTTTAAACGTTACAGTGATAGCAGCGAGCAGGGACCAAGGAGGAGTGGAATGCTGGACCCAAACCAAATCAAACGCACGGAGTGGTGCATCTGGTTTCTGTTTTCATGGTGTTGCTATAGTTGTAATATATTCAGTGTTCTGTATTCTAGTGGTGTTATTGTCTGCCAAAACATTCAGGCAACACATAAAAGTGTTCAGGCAGCTCAGTTTGGTAAATCAGTTAGAATAAAACTGATAAATACACCTGAAAACAATTCTTACTTTGAGTGGAATTGTACATGCTTTATTTTTATTATTTACTTTTTTACAGTGCATGATTAGGGCATTGAGAGTGTGAGAAAAGTGAGAGAAAAGTGTGAAAATGTTAACGCCTGTCAGAGAAAAGTGTATAAAGTGTGGTCAGCTCAGTGGTCTAGTGGTAGAGTGTCCACCCTGAGACTGGGAGATCAGGGTTCAATTCCTAGTCGGGTCATACCAAAGACTTAGAAAAAATGGGACCCAATGCCTCCCTGTTTGACACTCAGCATTAAGGGGTTGGATTGGGGGATTAAACCACCAAATGGTTCCCGAGCACGGCTGTGTCTGCACCTCACCACTCCCCCAGGGGATGGGTCAAATGCAGAGAACAGATTTCACACACACATCAGTGTGTGTGACAACTGATGGGACTTTTTTTTTCTTTTGAATGAGGGGTTTTGCAGCCTAAAACATTTATATTAATGGCAAAAAAGAAAAAAAAAAGCTGGCTACTTCGCAATTTTTTTAGAATATAACCCTGGTGATAAACAAAGGACAAATGTATGCTTTTATTCATTTCTATGTTTTAATGAAGATACAGTTTTAATTTGCCCATAATTCCTGCTGTCACAAATTTTATTCTCTCCGGTGAATACATTTAGGTGTACAATGTTGGAGAAAACAAACATAAAAAATTATAAATAAATTATTAAGACTTTCTCTGAGTGATGCCAAATATCTCCACATATCCAAAAATACCTGCATGGTGATGCACAATAACTCATTCTAAAGACTTACCACGAGGTTCTGCTGGTGCACAAGAAGAAGGGCTAAAAATGGAAGCATATCTTCTCTGCAGGCTTCGTTTTACTCTTGTTTATGGACACAAACTTTGGGGACTAGAACGCCTTCGGTAAGTGTCTGTTTTGACAACAAGAAATCCTCTACACTTTATAAAGATTTTTAGCTGTATTGTCCCATGGAGTTTTCATAAAGTGTCACTGGAGAAATCTGAAGTAGATAAATAACTCCCATTATGATAGGTGACTCTCTTTGCCTTTGTGTTGGTTCTCATGTATACATTGGCTTGTTTTCAGTCATTTATAAATCACCAGCGCCATTTTCCCTCAGATTTAAATGAATATCTTTGATGATGCTGCATGAGAGCTGATAAGACAAGCTGCTTAAAACAGATGTAGCTGAGATGTCAAAAGTGTTTACTGTATTGTTGTTACCTTTACACTAAACAAAAGAACAGCAAAAATAAAAATAATCAAACAGCTTAGTACAGAAAAAATATCTAAAATAATTACATAAAATATTTTATTTTATTGTTTTGCTTGACCATTATGTGTAACAATGTACTGCATATATAACTGTCAGCATGCCTCACAGGAATTACAGCTTCCATAAATAGAGGGGAATCCTGTGCTTAGTGAGGGATGTTTCAAGCTGATAATGTCATTTCGCTGTGAAAACATTTAGTGATTCTTTTTTTCTTATTGTTGCATGCTTTGCTGTTTGTTTTTCATGATATGCCATCTGCTGCAGTTCATATTTCATGTTTGACATTGGTTCACAGTACCAGCAGGAAATCCGACTCAGTGTTTTGGGAATAACACTTAAAAACACAATTTGGGACTGTCAGATTCTATTACACAGTCAATATCACAGTTACGGGGTATCCCTAGGAGCGGAAGCTATCTAATGGTCTGAGTTATGAACAATAGAGTGGAGACAATCAGTTGTTTTGATTTTGATATTCAATGACCTCTAAGTTCTAGCACATTTCTGCATATAAAAGATACTGTGATGATATAAATCCCTGATCTGTTTTCAAGTTCTCCCTTAAGCCTAAACACCCAAACTTCGTTCACCCTGAGCGCGATAGGTTCTGACTGTTGTCGCCATGATTTAAGCTTCCTGCTGCCACAGCTCTTATGCCAGGTGGACGGTCACAGGTTGGATCTCATTTGTGGGAGGGGGGACTCTGTGGTTTTGACCGAATAGTGGTCGGGGCAAGTCTGTCTTCAGGGTGAGTTGTTTTTAGTGGGCAAGCACCCAGACGACACCTGAGACTGTGAGGAACTCGAGACGGCGGGACACGTTGTTTTGCGTTGCTGCTGATTCGCGGTTGAATGGAGTGCCTGCCTTGTTTGGCTTTTTTAGGCGCTGCAGGAGTGTCTGTGTTTAGTCTGCGGACCTTGTTGGATGTGGTGGATTGGCATAGGGTGAGGGCGCTGCTGAGTTTTCTGTGAGCGATTGGGGTGTATGCGAGGCTGTGAGTGTGATTGATTGCTGTGTTAATGTCATTCTGGCAGCAATACGCCTCTTGGGCGTTCAAGAAGTAGAAGCTCTTATTCCACATCACCTACATCCTTCATGCAGGCCATAAGCTTAATGTAGCTTCAGCCTTTATGCTGACCAGACACTGCTAGTTTTCAGTTTCACAATAGCTTCAGTTAAGTTAGTCAAAGTAATTTCTAGTTATGTCAAGTTAGCTATGTTTAATCATGGCAAGCCATCCAAGCTGGGCCAAGTCAAGCAGCTTGTTTTAAGTCATGTTAAACCAAGTCCAATATATCTAATATCATTTATGTTGAGTCAAGCCCTACCAGGCCAATTGTCCTATTTTTCCTATTAAATAAAACTTTTATGTATTCTTTTATTCTTTTATTTATTCAGGCTGAAACCCTGTGGCCAGTTCTGCTGAGCCTGATGCATACATAAACTACAGACAAGATGTTGTTTTCCAAAGTAAAACAACATGGTCTAAATGGATTTTATCAATCAAAATCCTTCTAAAAATTCAACAAAACACATGGTATGCCCCTTAGGAAGAAATGGAGCAAACATATTGTAATTAATAGCTGATGAGATGAAATAAAAAACTGAACAATGCAAGCTGGCCACACCAGAGACAAAAAAATTCTTCAAGGTAATCTTTGATTGAGCAAAACATTCTTGAGGAATTCTATTGTTCTGTACAAGTTAGACCTCGACATCCAGATAGTG